AAATTATTATAGTATTACTAGCTAATACTATCTAATATACAAAATATAATTAAAGTATTATAATATAAATAATTATGAATGGGTTACATTAAAGTATGTTGAAAAATATCAAAGAATATTGAAGAATATCAGAGTATATAAAAGGATATTGAAAGATGTAAAAAGATATAAGAAAATATGAAAAGATATTAAAAGATGTGGAAAGATATAAAAGAATGTTAAAGAATATTAAAGAATATAAAAAGATATTTGAGATTATCATCCAAGTATAACTATTTCATCAAAATTAAAAATGATCTTTCACTAAACTATTCTACTATATACATGAATATCATATTACAAGATAATAAAAATGTAGATTCTGAATATTAAATAAGATATAATATTTAAAAATAGAAATATAATAATAAATATAGTAATATATAATATAGAAATAGGGATATTTATAAAATAAATAAAAAATATATGATTTTGCATAACTAGAAAAAGATTAAGAAATTAAGAAATTTTATATCACTATGGTAACAATATATTAAAACTCAATATAATATTTTCAAGAGACAAGCTTACTAATTAAAACTTTATAAGCTAATAACTTTGAAGTAAAATATAAATCAAATAAAGATAATATTATTACAGATGTACTTTTTTATCAATTATATTTAATAAATATAATAGTTATTATTATTAATCTTATTAACAAGAAAGATTTAATAAAGAAATATTAAAAAGATAAATATTTTATAAAAATATATAAAATTTTGAAAAACTTTAATAATATAGTACTTAAATAATAGACTAAGATAAAATATTTTGAATTAAAAGAAGAATTATTATATTTAAAGAAAATTAATTATATAGTCATACTGGATAATAAGTCTTTTAAAACAAAAATATTATTTGAATTTCATAATATATCTATAATAAAACATGTTAAAATAGACAAGATATAATAGTATCTTAATAATTTTATTAGTTAAAGATAAATAAAAATATTTACAAATATATTATCAGTTATAAATTATATTAATATAATAAAAGTAGTAATCAATAGCTTTTAGAATTACTTCAGTCTCTTATTATATCTGAAAAGAAATGAAAATATATTATTATAGATTTTATAGTTTAGTATTCAATTATAAAATCTGGATATAATATTATAATTATATTTATAGATAAGTTATCAAAAAAAGTATATTTTATACTAATTATAATAATAATAATTCTCTTTGATATTACAAAAATTTTTTTGAAAATTTTTTTAAACTATATAATTTACTTATAATTATAATATTAGATAGAGATATAAAATTTATAAGTTACTTTTAAAAGTTACTATTTGAATAATTAGATATTAAATTAGTAATATTAATAGTTTTCTATTCATAAATAGATAGTTAAATAGAGAAACTAAACAAAATTCTTAAAGAAATACTCAAAATATATACTATTTATTAACAAAATAAATGAAATAAAAATCTAGCTATTATAAAATTTATTATAATAATAGTTTAACTAGTTATACATTTTTTAAACTAGATTGTAAATAGATATTTTGCATACTAATCAATATCTTGTTCTTATAAAATAATATTATAGTTTTATAAAGTATTAAAATATTTTGATCAAAATAACTAAAGATTTGCTACTTAAAGTATAAGAAAGATAAAGTAAATATATAAATTAACATAGAAAATTTAAAGTTTTTCTTTTCACTTACAATATAAAAATTCCAGTTAATAAGTAAAGAATAATTAAAAAGCTTATATCAAAGTTTATAGATCTCTTTGAGATTATTATTAAGATATCTTCTGTTACTTATAAATTATAACTATTATATAATATAAAATTATATCTAGTATTTTATATAACATTATTAAAAAAGTATAATTCAGATAATAAATATAATAAATATCAATCATTACCAGTTATCATTATTTCAGATAATAAAAAAGAATATGAGATAGAAAATATTCTTGACAAAAGAATTTATTATCATAAATTCTAATATCTTGTTAAATAACTTAGCTATTCTCTCTATAATATAATATAAGAATCTCTTGAAAACTTGAAAAATATAATAAAGAAGATTAATATCTCTGAGAAATTACTGTATGTACTTGAATATAATGAGAATATTATACTTTAGTAGAAAAATATATAATAATTTTAATTAGATTATCTTTCTTTAGCTCAAATCTTTATTTTGTACTATCTGTATAATAGATTAGCTTCTATATTACTTTTTATAAAGATCAATTTTATTTTGGATATACAAATAATTATTTATATATTTAATATATTAGATTTAATATATTATCATACAGATAATTATCATATATATCAATATTATTAATTTAGATAATTAATATTTTAATTAAATTCTTTTTAAAAATTCTTTTATAATTTTATTTGTTCTTATTATTATTTATATTATTATTTATTATATTATTAATCATTGGATTATGATTATTTGTTCTCTAAAGATGCAAATTAATCTATTTAACCATATATACTTTTATTAAATTAATTATTTATAATTATTCATATTTCATATTCATATTATTTTCTATAAATATGTATCTTCTGTTTTGTAAATTATCTTTAGATCTGAATATATTTCAAATAATAAAAATTATAAGTTATAAATTGAATCTATTTATATCACATTTTATCTTGTTTACAACTATTAACAAAAATAATCTTACAACTTTAGCTATTTTTTGAGCTAAAAATAAAAAATATTTGCTAATAAAATTAATATTTTTATATATATTTACAATTATAATTAGTAAAAAATTAAAGTATTACATTACTTTTAATTGTCACTATATAACAACTTATAAAAAATAAGATAGTAATTTTTAATTTTTAATGAATTCTATTTTTATTAATATTTATTCAAATAAATAATTAATATTTATTTTAAAGATTAAATTTCTAGTATTTTTTAATATTTTTAAAAAACATAGAGGTTTCAAACTTTAAAATATTACAATGATAATATAATTGGATTGTTACTTTTGAATTATCATATTCAAATATTATTCCATTGATATAATATTATTATATATAAATATGATTCTGGAATATTATTTATGTCTTTATGACATATAAAATTGGATCAACTAGATTTACTTGTGATTATAGTAAAATATCAGTTTCCAAATTCTCTAGTAAATAAGTTTAATCTCTAAGTTAATTACAATATTTTCATGAAATAAGACTCATGAATATTTATTTTAAAATATGAACTCCTTAGAAATAGTATATATAATTTCAAAAATAATATCAAAATAAAGCGCATACTATATAATAAATGTCTTTATGTTGAAACTGCGCTTGAATTCATATAATTATCCCCGTTAAAAAATTGAACGAAACTTTACAGATTTGTTTGTGTATTGTCGATAGGTTAAAAAGTTAAGTGTACATTTTAATGCATATAATGTATAATGAAACTTTCTGTTCTGTAAAAATATATTTATTTAAATACATATTATAATCTTGTGCAATGTGATACATTAGCTATACATGTATTGAACGTGTTATCATTGTACTTGTGAGTTTACACAATGATAAATGTACATGTTCTAACAAAATGGTTTGATTGTGGAGTTCACAACTAGAGTTAGTTTACGTATTTTTAATAGCCGTCTACATTTATTTACTCACGAAAATTTTTTCACTACTATAAGACGATTTCTCTTTGTTGCTAAGTTTCAAACGCAACGAAATTTTCTTTCCTGCTAATAAAATTTCTGAATTCATAGAATAATGAATATACAGAATTTGAATCCTCCGAGTGATGAATATCATGCGACAGACGATCTGATGGAGGTTGAGAGAGGTGGTGATGCAGCACCAAATATACCAACCACACGAACAGAGTTTAAAATATTCGAACCATTGATAAAAGACGTCCAAAAATATGCGGATAAAATTGGAGAATGTTACGAACAGGCCGAACATCATAGAAGAATTTGCAGTGTATTGCTTAAACGTATTAATAAGGCTGCAGGCGAAGTGAAAACTTTGCGTCAACTAAAAAATAATTACAGTTGGTTTTTTGATGATAGCAATAATTACCCGATTTTTCAAGGATTTGTTAAAGTAATTGAAAAAATTCAAAATTTTGTCATTGTTATTTCGCAGTTGCAAGGTGTTATTAAATACTATAATGAATTTCGAGGCCCCGAATTTTCAATCGATAGAAAATTTCATAGCCTTATTACTGAATTTGAAAGGACCAAGGAAGCACTTACTATAGGGTTACAGAAAGAAGATCAAAAAATTGAAGACGACAATGCTATAAAACTGGATATGTGTGATATGGAAAAAGTAATGTAATTTTATTATAATTAATAATAACACTAAATAATTGATATTAATATATTTTATTTATTGAATGCTTGATTAGTATATTAGAGATATCGGTGGTGGTATCGCAGATGGACAAAAGATTTTGCAAGGAGTAGGAACTGTTGCTACTCTGAATAAACTTTTTCAGAGAAAAAAAAATATTGAGCTTTTTAATGATGTACTCGAAAACGCAGCGCTCGATCCCCAAAACTTTCATTATACGGGAGCGAAAGACGAAGTGCTACAGTATCGAAAATTAACGTCACCATTCGAGTTAGTCACATTCAAAAAAGTTGACGTTGATCAAGAGACTAAAGATAATCTTAAAAAGGAAGTCGCAATCCTTAAAAAGTTAGGATCAGAAAATATAATTGTGTTTCACGGAATTATACTTTATCCGAAAGAAATTGTTCTGGTGACCGAAGGGGCTATTGAATCAAATTTGAAAGAATTTTACCAGAAGCATAGATTGGATTGGAGTCTACAAATACAATTTGCGTTAGACATCTCTAGAGGATTAAATTATTTAAGAAGTGTTGCAATTCTACATCATGATATTCGCAGTCAAAATATTCTTATTACAAAAGACAATTCGCAGTATACAGCAAAAATCGGAAATTTTGCTTTAAGTCGTGGTTTAGGAGATGCCACCAGAAGAAATATTTTTGAGAGAGCTGTTGATATTATTCCATACATGGCACCAGAGAAGCTTAAAAGTAGTGTATATTCATATGATTTTAAATGTGAAATGTATAGGTAAAAAAATTTCACTATCAGCAATTGTATATAGGCTTTTTTCTTATTGAATTTATTTTATAGTTTTGGAGTGCTCCTTTGGGAAATAGCTGAACATAAGAGCCCATTTCAGCATATTAAACATGATATTGTAGGAATTCGTCAGATGATTATTGAAGATAAACGAGAACCATTTTCTTTGCCATTACGAGTTCCAGTGGAATGGGTAGAGATAGTCAATAAAGATAACTTGAGATTATTGATATTTATTAATAATAAAGCCTAACATATTATTTCTCTAATGTTTAATCAGCTACAAGCTTTTACCCCACGGATCGCCCACCTCTTTCATATATATTTACAGAACTGTTTGATCTTTCTAAAAAAAATTTTCCAGCTGCTCAACAACATATTCTTCCGATGCCAACCCCAAGGCCGGTCTTTCAAACTGTTCAAGATGGTATCAATATGCATAAAACGAAGTATGGTGATCGTAAAACAGCTTATGATATATTTCGCAAATATGCTAATTTAGGCGATTCAACTGCAAAATACTGGGTCGGATACTACTTATATTACAATTGCTTAGATGAACAACGAACTAGCGAACAACAAAGAATTGCAATAATGCGAGCTGCACGATATTTCAAAGAAGTAACTGATATGGATTTACCTGAGGCTCAACTTTGTTATGGTCATTGTCTATGGAAGGGGGAAGGTGTTGAAAAAAATAGAAAAGAGGCTGTGATATATTTCGAGAGATCCGCAAATAATGGAAACTCGACTGCTATGTATAACGTTGGAAACATGTATTACTATGGAAATGGAGTAATTCGAAATGTAGAAAAAGGCGTACACTATTTGAGGCAGGCAGCGTTAGAAGGTCAACCGAAAGCTATCAACATGTGCAAAATATATCAAATTACAATTTAAATTTTATCTGGATTTTTATTTAATAATATTTTGACACATATTGAAAATATGAATTTTTAAATTTTATATTAGTTCGTTATAAAAAGCATGGCATCTCTATAGAAAATATATGACTTAATAAGAACTTTTTTTAGCAGAACCACCACCGCTAATTTAAGAAATTAAAAACATTTTTATGACGAAATCTTTTTAAAGTTTCCTCAAATATTTCGAATGCATGATCTGTTCTTAGTTATACAATGAAAAATTTGCAATTTTTCAGAACTAGTTTTGGTCGTCTTTTATATTTTGGGTTTAGAGTTGTAATAACCACCGCATAAATAACAAATCACGCGTTAGATTGCAGTTTTTAACCTTAAATTTTTTTTTAATCATTTTTTAAAGGAAAAAATATTAATGAATCCGAGAGCAAATCCGAAACCATTTTTATACTTATACTTTGATGATTTCAGCATACCTTTTCTGTGTGTCAGTTAGCATTAGCAATTATACCTACCTCAATTAACGGTACATGTATGAATAATTATTATTCGGACTCTTATTCCATGTACTACTCAACATATTTCAATAACTTAATTGTCAAACAAATTCCAACTTCTTCCCGGAATAAGAATACAGTAAATAAGAGTATAGCATAATATGGATTTATTAAATCAAAGTAATCGCAAGCATAACAATCGTCTCATCTTGGTTTATTCTTTATATAACATGAACAATAAACACTTCAGAGTTAACATGATAATAATATACTTTAAGTTTAAATAAAATCTTATGCTAAGCCACTGCCACTCAATCTAGGATGCTATCTTAACTCTCCTGTTCTATTATTGTAATCTATATGGAGAAATACTGTATTTGATAAACTAAAAATAAAAATAAGTGTTAAATCCACCACGCCGCCGTAACCTTTGACTTTTCATCTGCAATGTTTAATTCTAAATATGATCATTGCATTATCAGCGTTAGTTTATAAAGAGATCTATTAGGGCAATCTTTTATAAAGGCTCTAAAAAAACATTCTATTATATAAAGGCATATGTATGTTGTTGTTGGTGAGAGGGTTCCCTTATGGAGGTCGAACTGCACTATATAATAAATATATCTATACAAAGTGTTCAATAATTGATATAATGATACGAGAAATTAAGAAATATGTTATTAAAATGAAATAGAATACAGCCAAAGCTTGTGGTGGTGATCTGGGTAAAGGATCGTAATGGTAATTGTTAAATCGAGCCGAGAATGTAATTGATACTCTAGAAAACATGATATCCGAAAATACTTTTTCTAAAAAATTTCCTTTGACACAACAATAGTTAAAGGTAAATACAGAATCTGTTAATAAGAATATACTCGATTTCACTGATAAGTATTATTCAAGAATTTATTGCAAAATGCATTTATCAATCTAAAGAAATCCAGATCAATTTCCATCCATTATCAATATGACTACATCCAAAACCATGGATAGTTTCACCGCGACCAAGTGCCAGATTTTTCATTACATCAAGAAGCCTCTTCTCGGTGGGGGGATACACGGTAAACATAATGAGTCTCGGTAACTTTTCAAAATATCCGAGAAAAGCGGTAAAAGAATCCACCGTGAAAACAAAACGAGTTGAAAGTTCAAATTGTGTCAGGACCGCCGGAAAAAGCCTTGGTGTGTTGAATTTGACTGGGGGATCATTTCTTTCTATGCCGTTGATCCTTAGGAATTTCAGAGTGTGCAGTTGTTCAAGAGATTGAAGAAAATTCTGCAGGCAGTGTACTTCTTCATCAATTTTGATGGTTAGCTCTGTTAACGTTACTAATGATTGCAAATGATTGAGGAACCTTTGGTTGTGAGCAAATACTATAGAATCAAGTATCAACGATTGCAAAGTATTTTGTGATAGGCTCAAAATAATAAAATAAAGATCAATATTTGAATAAATATCCTTCGAACTATTTCTGTGGATAAAGTTTTTCAGAGACGGGAAGCGCTTCGATTCGTAAGCAGATGTTATATATCGCCTTTCATGAGCGCCAATAATTTCTAAAGTTTCCAGGTTTTTAAACTGCAAAAGAAAATCCAAATAATCAACATTCGATAACCATGCCGGTATAATAGTGATTTTTCGGAGACTGACCGACAATTGAGATGAGATATGCGGCCAAATTTCAAGATTATTGTTCATAAAGTGTCTACCGAATTGATCACATGTAATTTCTTTTAAATTTGGTGCTGCCGCTTGAATTAATTGGAGTAGTCCTTCGATTGGTCGTCGCGCTCGTTTATTGAGCACTATATTTTTGAGCTTGAGACACTGAAAATTGTTACAGTGTCGTGCGAACAGTTTGAATACCTCTTGAATCATAAAAACGTATTGAGAGAAATGAACTTCGCGTAGTTTGCCTAATAGACTGTCTTCGGTTTGAGATTGTTCGACAAGATTGGTGACTATTCGTAAGAATGGTTGTTTTTCGACTACATTGATAGGTTTTGACAACACGAATATCACCTTTTGAATTCGTGCTTTACTTGTATGCAAGAGCTTAACGATTACTTCAAGAAATTTTAACTTTTTTTCACTTTCTCCATAATGTGATCCTATTAATGTCAAATACAGGTAAAAAGTTTAGTTATTTGAATTAATAAACTCGTTATCAAAAAATTATTTACCTCTTCGTGTTTTTTTATCATAAATATTTCTATTCAATTTTATACACCAACTCACAATTGCGTCCGAGAGCCTTTGAAAATCAAGCACTTTGAGATAAGTAGGATACAAAAGAACCGATGATTCTTTTTGCTGGTCAGATTCCGTCAACCCCAATTGCGCACGAGTATCTGTGCTCAAGCAATTGATATATGCTTGGATGAATTTATAAGCCCACGATGACGTTGCTATCCGTGGAAAATTATCCGGCATTTTTCGCCAAAGTATCGGTACCACATTACAACACCAGTATCTATTGACCAATAAACAAGAGTAAAGCGTTTTGTAGTCGTCTTCAAAAATTGTTACGATTTGTCGCAAGATTTCTGGTGGAAGTGAAATGTCGCTCATTTTTAATACATGTACATGTACGTATTATCGTTATCATTACATGGTAAAAAGTGTTTGTTATTGAAAACTATATCGTTTGCTCATGTGATTCCGACCCACCCGGAGTGCTCAAATCAAATATTTGGGTATTCGATTGCGTGTTTGGGAGTGTAGAATAGATTATCCGTTCATGTGATAAAGTCGGAAAACTGAAATTTTCGGAAAATCGATTCTACACCCTGGGCCGTAAACCACGGCAAAGTTTCAGATCATGTGATTTTAAGGGGTAAAATTTAATGCTAATTTCACTAATCACGAAATCTGATCCCGTGCCAATATTATTCAGAAAGTAAAGCCCGATTTTTTTAAAAAATAAAATTTCGGATTTATTTTATTTCCGTCTTATGAATATAAAAATATTTTTTACCATTAGCTAATACATTATTAGCTCTTCATATGGCTCTAATATCACTTTGATTTCTCAAGACATTCAGCCTACAACCTCCTCAAAAGCCAAAACATCAAATTTCCTTCAGAGTAGTCTTGAGCTTTTTTGCGATTTTATGCACTTTAGAATATTGTTCCCCAATGACTTGGAGACATTTCTATGAAGTTTGGGTCATGAGAACACAATATCCATTGATTTCTCTATTTGATTCTATCATGGCTTCTTTCCCTAATGTAGATCAAGTTTTATTTTTTTGAAACATCATGTTCTCTCAAATCAATAAACAAATTATATTAAGCAAAAGGGCCAAATTACCTTAGAGAATCTTCAGACAAGCTTTCGCATAAATTTTTTATTACCAATGTTGTGAAATGGCTCAGTCTTTTTTTGCTTCTTGTATAGGTAAATTTTTTTCTTGGTTTTTAAAAGCCTATATTCTCCCAGACAGTGATAAATTTTTGTTTTTTCTGTCTCTTTTGTACTTGACAAGAGACCATTACACTATCATCAGGTTACAACATATTTGAAAGCACATGATCAAAAAAAAATAAAACTTGATCTACATTAGGGAAAAAAATGAAATAAATTCAAATAGAGTAAATCAGCGTCAAGTAAGTTGCAACAAACAAATTGTATTATGAAAAGTGATCAAATTACCTTAGAGAATCTTCGGGTAAATTTTTGCACAGATTTTTTTTACCAATATCATGAAATGGCTCAGGATGTCTTTTTTAGCTTCTTGCATATATACATTTTTTTCTTGATGGTTATGAGCTTATGGTCTCTCAGACAGTGGTAAATTTTTATTTTTCCTGTTTCTTTTGTATGTACTTGGCAAGAGACCATTATACTCTTACCAGGTTACGTCAAATTTTTCTTGTCAAAGATGGTCTACTGGTATGACAGGTATCATATTTACACCTAAAAAAATTTCGCCTAGTGTATGTTTAAAAGTAAAATAAGAAAATAAGAAAAAAAATTAAGGTCAAAAATAACAAAAAACGACACATATCGATATATTTACCTATGTTGTTACACATGCAAATCGGGCGTTACTTTGTGCGGCGACTGTATCATGTATAACGAAAATATTTTCATGCCAATTCGCATCATTATACATGTACATGTATATCGTTACAGGTATCGCGTGTATACCAATACATTTTGCCATTTTAGTACAAAAAGATTTTTTTTTACATAATATCATATTTATTAAAAAATCAAACCTTAATCAATTTTTTCAATTAATATTTGAACAATGTTCACCCATCCACACCTGATATATCTATATATATATATAATTTTGCTGATCAAAAATGAACCTGATAACTTGTCTGATTCACCTATCAACAGCCTCCTTACCATTTCATACTTTATATGATTTCGATAAATTGACATATCAAAATTATCAAAGTCAAATTCTCACTGCTCGTTTATATAGTCAGCAAACAACATTGTATACATGTCACGGTCGTAACCGTTTGGTGGGAACAAGTTGACTGTCCATTCGTCCCAGTCTGTCTGTTGTTTTTTTAGAACTCCATGAACTTCAAGAGATTCTGAAATTACAGCAGACAAATCAGTTTAATTATCAAGTTTTTAATGAAAGAAACGAACTAACTTACCGGTCCAATGGATTGAGTTCCACCAAATCATGCACCGGAGTCATACACACTTATTGTTTTTTCATTTAAATTGATCACAGCACGTACTCAATGGCCACCGAGATGCACAAGAACTAAGAGTTTGTCTTTTTTGAATAGATCTGATACCTATATTTCACAATTACATGAATGAATTTATTATATAAATGAAAGTTTGTTATAAAGCAAGCACATGTTGACCAAAATATTTACATTATTATTACTGAGCCATTTTTGATGTTTCCTTTCTCAGCTAGTGTATAAAAATACATATTAGTCATAAACACATCTTGTTGATTTGACAGACCCGGTGAATATGTGTGTGCCGAGGGGACGTCATATGCAAAATAGCAATTAAATTTTTTATTAATATTAAAGTAAAAAATAAGCAACAAATTATTTTTTAATGAAACAGAATATTGTTCTAAAACTCTTCAATAGTTTTATTTGCTTTGGTGTTTTCATCGATTTGTTAGTTTTCTTATTATCCTCAATTTCGTGCGGTATACTAATTTCGAATTCTGTTTTTATTAAAGGATTAATAAAGAAATTGATAAAAAGAATATCAAATGTTTAATTTACCTTCATTCGGAACAAATAAACGAATACTTGTAGAACCTAAAGAATTGAAATTGATTTTGAAATAAAGATTCGACTGGTGTAAACTGCATTTGGTGAATTTCTCTATAATGGTAGAAATGCATTTTTGTTCTCTTCATCCGTTTTAGGACATTCTAAGGAACTGTAATACTGAAAATGCAAAGAATTCAGTTTCCGCTTGTTAAAGTTGTCACTTGGATCGGTTGGATCGGAGATAGACCAGATAAAGTGTTCAAGTTCCTCAGCAGTAGGTCTATTTGCTGGAATAGGATCCCAACATTTTTCAATAATAAATTTGTAAAATCTGGGGATAATATTTGGAATTACAGGTCGCATTCCTTTATAGATGTCATATACAAGATAATAATCAAGACTTCGCTCACCAAATGGTCGTTCACTTATTATAATTTCGTATACAACCATACCAAAGTTGTTATTATTTATTGAGTACAAATGCCTTAATTGGTGAACGTATAATTTATGTATGGGATGGGCATTTACGATATCGGTTAGTAACTATCGCTATTGTAATACCCTAGCCACGTCAAAAATTTGTCGGTCACATGACTTTTTAGGGTAAATCAATATTAATAGCATTTTGATTAGGAATTAAAGATTAATGTTAAGGCCAGCGTTTAGATTATATTGAGAAGATACAGTAAAATTTTGCAAAGAATCTTCTTTATTAGAGAGCAGAAAAAAGCTTCATAG